TATTTTTTAGTTATCGGCGGACACAACATCTTTGTATGTGGTGCTGAGGATCGAACCCGGGCCGTACGCATGCCAGGCAAGCGCGCTACCGCTTGAGCCACATCCCAGCCCATAGACAAGTATTCTCACATGCGCATAGAACATGGGTTCAATCCCCAGCACCACAAAAAAAAAGAGAGAGAGAAATGTTAATAGTATCAACCTCAGAGTGTTGCTGTGAGAATATCAGTTAACATTTGTGTCATCTTTAGAACAGTGCCAGGCATATAAAAGTAGTATATATGTAAGTATTTGTGAAATAAATTTAAAATTCCAGTCTTAGTCTCTGTCTCCTCAGAGACAAAAGACACATTGTACAGTCCTGGTAAACACCTTTGCTTATGACTGGTTCTCTCTGGGATGCTCTTGCCCTTTCTTTCTGCCTATTAGACATTTAATTACTATTAATTGGGTACTGATTCAGTTATTGAGGATGTGGCAGTAAATACAATACAACCAGCAACTGATTTCAGCCTTAGAAATAATTTTAAAAGCTCATAACACCATAAAAAAGCAACCACACAAATCCAGAAGGTGAAATATTCTACAGGACAATTGGACAGACTCACTCACAAATAATGGAATATAAATACAATACTGAATCAGTTATTGAGGATGTGGTAGTAAACACAACAGAATCCCAGCCTTAAGGAACTTTCAAATCTAATGGAGATACAGGCAAGTAATAGGTGTAAATCAGAATGCACTAAAGGCATAGTCTTGTGGAGTCAGGGGATGCTTTATAGAAGATGTTCTATAAGCTGAGACCTGAAGAAAGAAAAAGAATTAGATTATCAAAACAGTTAGCAAGACAAAGGATGGACAATGGAGTTTGGAGATGAGAACAAGGTGTATTTCACTATGATGGAGCTGTAAGGGGTGACTGCAGTTGAGGATCAGCAGGTAAGCAAGAAACAGGTTGCAAAAGGATTTGAAAAACAATAAAGATGGACCTTCTCATTTTCCGCTGCCTTTTAGGCATCTTCTCAACTACCTTAGCTAGCTAACTTCTCTTATTCTTCCTTAATTTCTGTAGTGCTGTAATGTAGAAGACTTACATTGGGGAAAGTGGTAATCAAATAGTTTGTGATGTCTTTGGGGAGTTGTAGTGATTAAGTTGGGCAGTCAGAATCTGACATGGATCAAATTTAAAATTTTTGATGTTTTCCTATGGATGACTAGAAATCATGAATAGTTATTCAGAATGGATTATCATAGAAAAAGAAAATTCTGAGAGGGAAAGGGAAAGAGGTGAGGGAAACAGCAGGGTTTCTGGGAACTTTGAGTAATTCATTACATTAAAGAAGAAATTTTGAATTTGAAGAGGAAGCAGTGAGACTGGAAGAGAAGACACAGATCCTGAAAGGAGGGTAAGGTATCCCGCTGTGTCCAGTGAGCAGTGGGAGCTTACTGACAGATTTGATATGAGGAAGAATTGGTTAGTGTTTGCTTTTTAGAAGATAAGTTTGACAACAATGTAGAAAATAAATTTGAGGGAATCAAGTGTTAGAGGTAAGATAACGTATAGGAAGCTGTTGTAGTACTGGTTTAGATCAAAATTGATGAAACTCAGCAAAGAGCAGTCCTAGGAAGAAAAGGAGAAGAGGACCTACCTATATTTGAGAAATATTGGAAACAGCACCATGTAAAAATAAATAAATAAAATAAAGATATGTATCCAACTACAACTAAAAAAGAAGAATGCTTATTTAAGATGGAAGATATATGCATATAAACGTCAGAAGGAATACAATGTAAATATATAAATAGCATATAACTTAAAATATAAGAAACTAGAAGTTAATGGAGTTATAAGGTTCCCAAGGAGAAAAGAGAGACTAGGAACAGTACATGGTAGACGGATTATATTTTAATAGGAGAAATGACACTTTGCACTAGGTAAGTTTATCTGGGTAAGTTTAAATATGGATGCACTATGCTTTGGCTTTCTGCAGTTTTAATTACCTTTGGTCAACCGCAGTCTAGAAATGTTAAATGGAAAATTCCAGAAATAAATAATGTGGGATGAACTTTCACATCGCACTGTTCCTTCCAGCCTGGGATGTGAATCATCCCTTTGTTCAGCATATCCATGCTGTATTTACTACAAACATATTAGTCACTTAGTAGCTGTGTTGATTTGTGTGATCGGCTGTCTCAGTATTAACAGTGCTTGTGTTCAAGTATCCTTTATTTTACTTAATTATGGCCTCAAAATGCAAGAGTAATGAAGGGCCAGGGTTGTTGCTCAGTGGTAGAGCATGCATGAGGCACTGGGTTCGATCCCCGGCACCACACTAAAAAATAAAAATAAAAACAAAATAAAGGTATCAAGTCCATCTACATCTTAAAAAAATATTTAAAAAATGCAAGAGTAATGATATTGGAAAGTTGGTATGCCAAAGAGATGCCATAAAGTACTTCCTTTAATCCCTGGAGTTCCAAGTTTTCAATTCTGTGAATCATGCAGTAACACAGGTACATGAAAAATAGGTTAATAGTTCAATTTAAGTTTTTATAGGTTTTCCACATATGGAGTGGTGGGACCAAATGAATTAAGTGAAAACATCTATCTATTTAATAAAGGGCGGGGGGAACCATGTTCTGAAGTTGCTGAGATCCACAGTATGGGATCTTCTGTGAAATTGTGAAAAAGTAGAAAAAAATTTGTGCTGAATTTTACTATCATACCCCAAAAATTAGCTGCAAAAATTATGGTCACAATAGATGGTAAGTGCTTAGTTCAGATAGAGCAGGCACAGAGTTTGTTAATGTATGTGCAGGAAAAAGCATAGGTTCTGGGAATAGCTCAGTGGTGGAGCACTTGCCTAACATATACAAGGCCCTGGATTTATTCCCCAGCACCAAACACAGTATACTCAACAGACAGTCCCCAACTTAAGGTGATTTAACATAAAAATTTCCAACTTTACGGTGATGCAAAAGTGATACATGGTAGAAACTATACTTTATATTTTGAATTTTTATTTCTTCCTGGGCTAGCATTATGCTATACAATATTCTTGCAATACTGGGTGGCAGCAGCAAACTATAGCTTGCTAATGAAAGGTCATGTGATCATGAGGTAAACAGCTGAGCCTCTATAGTGTACTGTGTCTAAACTATGCCATTAGGTTAGAAATGCATTTTCAACTTAAAATATTTTAAACATGTGATGTAGCCCCTTCATAAGTTAAGGACACCCATATATGGAATTTTTCTACAATTGGTTGTTTTCAGGGATCTTGGAATTCCTGTGGGAATGGGGGACTACTGTACATTTTTTGAGAGAAAATGATTCCCGTCTAATTATTTCTGCTCTGTGAAATAGCATGTAAGGTCATCTCCTGAGAGCTAGAAGGGATATAGTAAGATAGGATTTGATGGGTGGTATAAATGTGAAATACCCCTTACTGCAAATGGAGAGGAGAGGATGCTAATTAATAATTAAGGACATGTGGAAGGATTCTAACAGGAAACAGTTGAAGAAGGAGACTATGAGTTTATATGGTTTCAGTCTTCTTGGTATGATTTTTTCATCAATAGAACCAAATGACAGAATAAAAGGTACAGTAAAGACATTCAATTAGATAAATCCAAATTTAGGATTTTATTGAGTATACATGTCAAGGCTAATTTAGGGGGAAAAGGAAAAGAAAATGAGGATTTGGATGAAAGAACTGTTTAAATAATGGATCAAATTCACAGGAATTGATAAAGAATTGGGTACTAGAAAAGACTGAGGAGTTAGAGAAAATAAAAAAGTGAGATCTTGTTGAAATTGAATAAAAAATATAGTAGGAGTGGGAGGGTGTGGTCCAGAAGGAAATTTAAAATATACAAGGGCTGGGGCTGGGGATGTGGCTCAAGCGGTAGCGTGCTTGCCTGGCATGCGTGCGGCCCGGGTTCGATCCTCAGCACCACATACAAAACAAAGATGTTGTATCCGCCGATAACTAAAAAATAAATATTAAAATTCTCTCTCTCTCTTAAAAAAAAAAATATACAAGGGCTGGTTCTTAAAGGTCACTGAATTTGAGATCAAGGAATCTGAGAAACTAGAAAAATGTGATGGATTATCCATATGAATTTTGAAATTCCCAGAGTACTATTGAAACTTGGGTGGCTTTGCTCAAGATTCTAGTTAATGAATTTAACTGGACGCAGTGGTGTATGCCTCTAGACCTTATCTTTAAAAAAAAAAAAAAAAGAGAGAGAGAGAGAAAAAGATTTTGCCTGTTAGGGTATGTACATAGATTCAAATTATTTCCCAGGACACCTACCTAGCAATGAAAGTAGAACTTACTTTCCAGTAGATGGTAAGACTTAGGTGTGCCCAAGCAGTATCTGGATTAGTTGATGAAAAAATTCTCCGTATAGTAATGTTAGCAATTTACACAATTACATTCTTTTTTTATTATGGGATTTTGTGGATTAAACCTACGGACATTCTACCAGTGAGCCTTTGGTTGTTTTTTGTTTTTTTTGAGACAGGATCTAAGATGCCTAGGCTGGCCTCAAACTTGTGATTCTCCTGTCTTAGTCACCTGAGTTGCTGGGATTACAGGCATGTGCCACTCTACCCAGCATACAGTTACATTCTGATTAGATTCCAAAGGCCATGTTCTTTCCACTAACGTTTATATTGCTGCAACAGGTTGAGTGTATTCAATTTTTTTTTTGTCTTCCCAAATATTTGGGAAAACAATTTTATCTTTAGCACCAGATGTGTACAAAGTGAAGAAGAAATCTACTTGAGTGCCTTAAGCAGAAACTTAACCGGTAGTCAAGATTCTTAGTACAAAAAGATTGATTAGATCATTTGTCAGTTTATTCATCCATCCTTTTATATCTGTGTAAAAAAGAAAAAAAAAACAGCTATTGTTTGAGAACACTATATTTGGAGTAAGTTTAAGTATAAAATGACTCATTTGGTTTTTATTGTCTCTTGTCATCTTTAGCTGCATATCCCCACCGTTTGAATCTCTTTTACCTTGCCAATGATGTCATACAGAACTGTAAACGGAAAAATGCAATCATATTCCGTGAATCGTTTGCTGATGTACTTCCTGAAGCAGCTGCTCTAGTGAAGTAAGTAAATTCTCATTACTCTTTGGGATCTAAGTTTAGAAAATATAGGATTTTAGTTTTCCTTTTCACCTAGTAGCAAGAACCATAGTAGTTGCACATGCTTGAAGATCTGAAGATATTTGCCCAAATGGCTCATTGTACATTCCTGATAATTTACACATTTTTCTTCTAAAGAATTTTTTTCCCAGGGCTGGGATTGTAGAGCCCTCGACTAGCACAGGTGGGACCGGGTTCGATCCTCAGCACCACATAAAAATAAAGGCATTGTGTTGTGTTCATCTACACCTAAAAAATAAATATAAAAAGAAAAAGTTTTAAAAAGTTGATCTTTTCTGCCCTTGCTTGACCAAATGTATCTCCTGGTCATACCTCTGACAATGCTTCTTTCTAACTTCTGCTTCTGTTTATTTGTTGTGGTGCTGGGGATTGAACACAGGGCCTTATGTGCACTAGCAGGTGCCATACCACTGTGCTAACTCCAGGCTTCCCCTCCCACTTTTTTTTTCCCCCCTTAAACACATTTTATTTCTTCTTCCTATTTTTGTAATCTTGCCCTACCCCCATGAAATCTGTGTTTGTTTGTTTGTGTTATTGGTGATTGAACCCCAAGGGTATTTGACCACTGAACTACATTCCCAATTCCTTTGAAATATTTATTTATTTGTTTGTTTACTGAAGTACTAGGGATTGAAACCATTGGTGTTCTACCACCAAGCTACATACTAGGCCTTTTTAAATTTTTTGAGTCAGGGTCTCTCTTAAGATGCTCAAGCTGGCATCCAGCTTGTGATCTTCCTCCCCAGCCTCCCAAGTTGCTGGAATTACAGGTATACATTTCCTGTGTCCAGAAGAATCTGTGTAATTAAAGAGAAATGTAATTAAAGACAACTTATTTTCGACACCATATTGATTTATTTCATTCTTAGCAGAATTTGTATCTGGTGTTTCCTACAGTGTATGCCTGTGAAAATAGTCAAAGAAGGAAGTGCTCCATGCTCAAATGTTTGGAGAATGATCCATACTAACTTTCCTGTCCTGAAGATTGAGTGCACATTATTATATAAATAATTTCATTTCTTTGGGGATCTTCACAATGCTAATTTCAAAGCAGCATTTACTAAATTTTGATCATTCATGGGTACTTTTTTGGGGAGGTATTTTAAACATCCGTACATCTGAGGAATTCTGGTGTGTGTGTATGTGTGTGTGTGTGTGTAATATATGATCATTTTTCCCTGTATTAATTGTGTTTTCTTTGTATTATGTCTATATTTGAAAATTGTGTTTTTGTTTTGGTACCAGGAATTGAATCCAAGATCTCCTAACCACTGAGCCATATCTCCAGCCCTTTTTATTTTTTGAGATAGGGCCCCACTAAGTTGTTTAAGCCTCACTAAGTTGCTGAGGCTGATTTCAAATTTGTGATCCTCCTGCCTCAGCCTCCCAAACCACTAGGATACAGGAATGCACCGCCGCGCCTGACTAAGAAATACATTCTTTTTTTGGCGGGAGCTGAACTTTTTTTGGCGGGGGGGATTGAACTCGGGCCCTCAACCACTGAGCTACGTCCCCAGTTCTGTTTTGTATTTTATTTAGAGAGAGGGTCTCACTGAATTGTTTGGTGACTCACTTTTTGCCAAGGCTGGCTTTGAACTCGTGATCCTACTGCCTTAGGATTGCAGGTGTGCGCCCTGTCAAGAGATACATTCTTAACTACATATAAACACTTGGAACAAGGGCTGAGGTTGTGGCTCAGTGGTAGAGTGCTCACCTAGTATGCATGAGGCACTGGGTTCAATCTTCAGCACTACATAAAAAAAATAAAATAAAGATATTGTGTCCACCTAAAAATAAAAATAAATTTAAAAAAAACACGTTTGGAACAATTACAATAGCTAAATACTTCTTCAAATCATACATTTATTGGCAATGACCCATTTGTTAATATTAACACATTCCGAATTGGATGAACCTTGTTCCTTCTTTAGAGTAACTTGAAATTTCTACTTTAATATTGCAAAAGGATTAATAAATATTTATACACACATCAGAAGTACATGAAATAACATGTACCATTTGTTAAAAACTTCCTTTTTGTGGTACAGGGGATTGAACTCAGGGGCACTCTACCACTGAGCACATCCCCACCCCTGTTTTATATTTTATTTAGAGACCGGGTCTCACTGAGTTGCTTAGCCTCTCAACCTCTCAGCCTCTGGAGCCTCTGGATATTGAATACTTCTACTTGACCAAATAATATACAAAATTCTTTATCATTTAATTCTGAAAACAGCTTTATATAGTACGTACTACTATTATCTTCATTTTAAGGAAAAAGAAACTGGCTTAGAGAAGTTAAGTACCTTGCCTAAGCTCTCATAGTTGCCTGGAGTTAAGTAGCCAGAATTTCCCCTCAAGGCTGACAAGGGCTGTTGTACTGATCTGTGCTGCTTCCTTATGTAATGTAAACCAGTGTAATTTTGAGTAAGAGACCAGTGTGCTAGATGATCTTTACTAAGAATTTCTGCCATAAATATCACTATAGTCTGTCTCTCTCTCTCTCTCTCTCTCTCTCTCTCTCTCTCTCTCTCTCTCTCTCTCTCTTTCTCTCTCGGTACTAGGGATTGAACCCAGTAGCACTTAACCACTGAGTCACATCCCCAGTCCCACACTTTTTATGTATTTTATCTAGAGGCAAAGTCTTGCTAAATTGTTGTGGCTGGTTTTAAACTCACGATCTTCCTGCCTCAGCCTCTCAAGTCACTGGGAGTATAGGTATGTGCCACAGCACTTGGCTTCACTGTAGTCTCTTGACAGTTTAGCCTCATGTTTCATAGGCTTTTGGATTTCATGGCCTAGTTAAAAGATTAATATAAGATTGTTGGGATGAAGATATAGCTCAGTGGTAGAGTACTTGCTTACAATGTGCAGGGCCCTAGTTTTGATCCTGAACACCACACACACACAAAATAAATATTCTATATAATATATATATATATGGCTGACAACTTGTCTTATTAATTATGTACAGATTTTTAGAATTTATTATTTGTTTGTTTATTTGTTTATTTATTGTGGTACTGGCAATTTAACTCGGGCACTTTCCCACTGAGCTACATTGCCAGCCCTTTTTACTTTTTATTTTGAAACAGGGTCTTCCTAAGTTGCTTAGGGCCTTGCTAAATTGCTGATACTGACCTAGAATTTATGCTCCTCCTGCCTCAGCCTCTCATGTCACTGGGATTACAGGGATGCGCCACCGCACCTCCCACGAACATGTATTTTTAAAAGCAGCTGCTTCGTGTTTATAGTGTCAGATGCCTATAATCCCAGTTACTGGGGAGGCTGAGGCAGAAGTGTCATAAGTTTAAGGCCAGCTTCTTCAACTTGGTGACACCCTGTCCCAAAATAAAAAATAAAAAGGGTTAGGGTTGGGGCTGGGGTTGGGGCTCAGCAGTAGAGTGCTTGCCTACCACATGCAAGGCCCTGGGTTTGATCTTCAGCACCACATAAAAATAAATAAAATAAAGATATTGTGTTAAGGGGGGGGGGTTAGGGTTGTAGCTCAATGGTAGAGTGCTTCTGGATTAAATCCGTAGTGCCACAACAAATAGATTTAATTAATTATCTTGCTGGCAAACAAAGCTCATCTGATGAATGAAATTAAGCTGTGGGTAATCTGTTAGATACCTCAACATTTTGACATTTATTTTATTCCTTTAATCTTTTTAATGTGATACTTGGTTAAAAATTGGTATAGGAGCCATATGCACTGGTGCACGGTTGTAATCCCCAAAACCAGGAGGCTAAAGCATCATTGCAAGTTGTAGGCCAGCCTCAGCAATTTAGGGAGACCCTGTCTCAAAATAAAAAGGGCTAGGGGCTGGGCATGGTGGCACACCTCTGTAATCCCAGCTGTTCAGGAGGCTGAGACAGAAGGATTGCAGATTCAAAGACATCCTCAGCAACTCAGCGAGGTCCTAAGCAACTCAGAGAAAACCTGTCTCTAAATAAACTATTTAAAAAAGGACTAGGGGCGCTGGGGTTGTGAGTTAGTGGTTGAGTACTTGCCTAGCATGTGTGAGGCACTAGGTTCTGTTGTCAGCACTGCATATAAAATAAAATAAAAAAAGGTCCATCAACAATTGGAAAAAAAAGGGCTGGGGATGTGGCTCAAGCGGTAGCGCGCTCGCCTGGCATGCGTGTGGCCCGGGTTCGATCCTCAGCACTACATACAAACAAAGATGTTGTGTCTGCCGAAAACTAAAAAATAAAAATAAGTAAATAAAATAAAAAAAATTGAAAAAAATTTTTTTAAAAAGGGAGGCTATGTGGGGGTTCACACCTGTAATCCCAGTGGCTTAGGAGGCTGAGACAGGAGGATTGAGAGTTCAAAGCCAGCCTCAGCAAGAGTGAGGCACTAAGCAGCTCAGTGAGACCCTGTCTCTAAATAAAATACAAAAATAGGTCTGGGGATATGGCTCAGTGGTCGAGTATACCTGGGTTCAGTTCCTGGTACCAAGAAAAAAAAAAGAGGGGGCTGGGGATGTAGCCCAGGGATAAATTGCCCCTGGGTTAAAATCCAGTACCATCCCCCCGCCAAAAATATATATATATGTATGTATGTATGTGTGTGTATGTATATATATATATATATATATATATGGCATAGACTTGTGGTCACATGTTAAAACAGATGACTAAAGAGGGAGACAAGATCTCAGATTACAAGAATTTGCCCTAGCATAGTTGGGAAACTTTTTCTTCCAATTATTTAACTTCCTTTTATTAAATTTTCATTTTACTTTTCACTTTTTTTATTTCAAATTCCATTGGCTATGGGGCTGGGGATGTGGCTCAAGTGGTAGCGCGCTCGCCTAGCATGCGTGCGGCCCGGGTTCGATCCTCAGCACCACATACAAACAAAGATGTTGTGTCCGCCAAGAACTAAAAAAAAAATAAATAAATATTAAAATTCTCTTTCTCTCTCTCTCTCTCTC